CCCTTCCAACCCAAACCATTGTGTGATAAGCTGGAGGGCTGGGAGTTTTCAGAGTGGACCTGGCTGCCTCTCACTCCTTGACCCCTGCTGAGCACATGTCTGTAGGGTTGGGTTATCTATGGGTGGAGACCAGGCCACCTTAGAAAACCAGTTGGCCTTCTCCAGTTGGAAAGAGATGTCCTTGACCTTGGCTGGAGGCTGGGAGCCTGTGGGACACATCTGCTCACCTTCGGGTGAGGTTGTGGGGAGTGCACGTGGGTGAAATGCTGCTGAGCTCCTGTGGTCCTTGTCCTCCTGAAGCCTGGCTCAGAGGATGAGCCTGGCAGCAGCTGGCCACCAGAGGGGCAGCCCTTCCACACGTGGTGTGACAGAAGGTGATTCTATGATTCTATGATTCTATGATTCTATGATTCTATGATTCTATGATTCTATGATTCTATGATTCTATGATTCTATGATTCTATGATTCTATGATTCTATGATTCTATGATTCTATGATTCTATGATTCTATGATTCTATGATTCTATGATTCTATGATTCTATGATTCTATGATTCTATGATTCTATGATTCTATGATTCTATGATTCTATGATTCTATGATTCTATGATTCTATGATTCTATGATTCTATGATTCTATGATTCTATGATTCTATGATTCTATGATTCTATGATTCTATGATTCTATGATTCTATGATTCTATGATTCTATGATTCTATGATTCTATGATTCTATGATTCTATGATTCTATGATTCTATGATTCTATGATTCTATGATTCTATGATTCTATGATTCTATGATTCTATGATTCTATGATTCTATGATTCTATGATTCTATGATTCTATGATTCTATGATTCTATGATTCTATGATTCTATGATTCTATGATTCTATGATTCTATGATTCTATGATTCTATGATTCTATGATTCTATGATTCTATGATTCTATGAAAAGTGCAAAGCCCAACTCGGGGCCTGTGTGTTCCCTGCAGCTCCAGGAGGGCTGCAAAGCCCCCAGGCTGGTCACCCAGCTTCACTTCACCAGCTGGCCTGACTTTGGGGTGCCCTTCACACCCATTGGGATGCTGAAATTCCTGAAAAAAGTCAAAACAGTGAATCCTGCCCACGCTGGACCCGTCGTGGTTCACTGCAGGTAGGTGTCTGCTCCTCAAGCCAGCCTCTTGGCTTGGCCTGGAGTCCTCTGTCTCATGTCAAGGCTGTGTTTTAATCTGCTCTTGACAGGCTGCAGAGTTTGTGTGTGTGTATGTGTATATATTAGGGTCACAAAAATGATGCAAGGGCTGGGAGGCCAGGGGTGGTTCAGCCTGCAGAGGAGAAGGCTCCAGGGAGACCTTCTGGTGGCCTGCCAGGACTTCAAGGGGCCTCCAAGAAAGCTGGGGATGGAGTTTTGAGCAGGGCCTGTTGTCACAAGACAAAAAGGGATGGTTTGAAACTAAAAGAGGGAGATTTAGACTAGAGAGAAGGGAAGAAATTCTTTCTAGGGAGGGTGGTGAGCCCCTGGTCCAGGTTGCCCAGAGAGGTGGTCGCTGCCCCATCCCTGGCACCATCCCAGGGGAGGTTGAATGGAGCTCTGAGCACCCTGCTCTAGCTGCAGATATCCCTGCTCAGAGCCTGGAGATTTGGACTAGATGACCTTGAAAGGTCCCTTCCCACCCAAACCACTCCATGATTCTATGACTGACTTACACATCTCTCTTTATACACCTAACAGACAATAATATGCTGAGCTTTTGGAGAGCCCAGGCTAAAAAACCCCTTCCAAAGATCTGCCTCTGCTGCCTCTTTAATACTCAAGCAGAAGCTGTTGTTGTTGGGGGTGTTTTTTTTGGAATCCCCAAGTGATCTCCAGAGTTGGGTATAAATAAGTTCTTTCTGAGAAAAACAGGCTTGTCATCCAAATCTGTGACCTTTGCCACCCAGCTCTCCTCTGAGAGTTCATCCCCCTCTTCTCCCACAGTTAAATTGTGGTTTGCTCTGCAAATAGCCTTCAAATGCTTACAAAGTTTTGAAGGCAGGCTCAGGTTTAAGGGATCTAAATGTGCTCTGTGCCCCTGCAGGATGTATTCCCCTGGGTGAATGTCCTGCTGCTGAGGGCTTGTGCTCTTGGAAATCCTACCTCAACAGGGGTTTAGGAGAACTGGGCACAACTGAGCAAGGAGTTCATGAGGTTAGAACAAAAGAAAGACCAGAGGCTTTGTCTTTCTGGGCCTTGTTTTGAAGGAAATGGTTGTAGGTTGATGTATGGGTCTCTTTTTGGTGGAGAAATAAGCTCCAAGAGGCCTTGGGTTGTGTGAAAGGAGCATGTTTGTCCTGGCCAAGCCAGCCTGGCTTTGATTCTTCATTTCCAGCCTTGCTAGGGTTCATCTTCTCTCAGCTGTCGTGCAAAAGAGGCTGAAAGAAAAGCATTAAGTGGAGAAAAAAAAAGATTTTTAGTCCTTTCTCAGTCTTCCCTTTGAGAAACCCACAATATTTTTCTAGCCTGTTGCCCTGGTGTCCTGTGCAGCCTCACACTGGGCTTGAGCTTCCTCCTGCAGCAGCAGGAAACTCTGGGCTTAGCTGAATCAGCAGAATTAGAGACAGAAGAAAGGGAAATCTCCAATCTCTTACTAAAACCCTGCAGAGATTTCAGTGTGATGACCCAGGGGGGGAAGGGAACAGCCCCGTGCTGGGGGCTGGGGCTCTACCTCAGAAGTGAAGGATGAGAGAGGTGACACTCCAGTTCCTCAACAGTTCAGGATGTGACACTGCTGAATTGTTGGGAAAAAAAAGGAAAAGGAAACTCATCACTGGTGAGTTCACCACCCATTTTTAGCATCCCCCCAGTCGTTCTGACACAAAGGGCTCCATCAGAACCTTTTGGAAGTTAATAAAACACTCAGTTAGCAGTATGGGGAGTAGAGCAGATGAAATGAGGAAGGGTGGGGAGCAGGATTTTCTGCCAATCCTTCTTTTTTTTTCCCCAGAAGTTTTCAGTGGGGTTCAAAGAGGAATGAAAGGCAGAGGGAGGGCAGGGAGCCTTGGGCACCGTGGGGTGGAGGCTGTGGTGGGCAGTGGGGCCAGGGGGAGCTGGAGGGGGGGAGCTGGAGCAGGACGTGGCTGGGTGAGGAGAGAAGGGGCTGATCAGTGCCAAGGGGTTTGGAGGCAGAAGGTCCCAGTGGGCTTGTGTTCTGGTGAGATTTTGGTGGAGGTCTGGTAGTCCTTTGGTCTGCTCATCTCCATCCTCCCTCTGGACCACGGGAGCAGGATTGCTCAGGGGCTTGGGCTGTTAAAACTCTGTGTGTGTGTCTGAGCTATGTCTTAGGCATGCCATCATTTATTTCAAGTGTTTCTTAAAGCCTTAATATTTCCTTGCTGACAACTGATCTGCAGCTTGGAGCACGCTGGGACAAGGGGAGAGGTTTTTTGGTCGTGTTTCAGAAGGTGTCTGTGGACACTCCAGCAGCTGCTGGAGAGAGAAAGCTCCCAGAAGGTGAAAGGGCAGCTCGGAAAGCCTAGCACAGGATGCCAAGCCCTTTTCCTCTGAGGGGAAGAGCTGGAAGTGCCCGGGGTCGTGTGATTGATGATGATCGTGCTCCCTCTCGTGGCTTTTGAAGGATATAGATAGAGAAAAAAGCAGTTTGGGAAATGTAGAACTTGTCAGGAGAGATTTGCACCTGACAACCGTGCAGAAAAGGGCAGAAATTAAGGAAATAAATGTCAAGCTTTAGCCTAAACTGAATTCTTAAACCTGCTCAAGCACAACTTTTTTTCCCCAGTGCCTTTTCTAACATCATTTTGAACTTATTTCAGAGCTGTTAAGAGGTGACTTTTTATCTTAAAAACTTAGAGCCCTTGTTTTGATTGGGTATTAGGGGAATTTCTTCCCTGAGAGAGTGGTGGGGCATCGAACCAGGCTGCCCAGGGAGGTGGTGGAGTCACCATCCCTGGAGGGGCTCCCAAAATAAGTCGATGCAGCACTTGAGGCTGTGTTCTAGTGGTCAGGGAGAGGTTGGGAGGAAGGTTGGACTCGTTCCTAGAGGTCCTTCCCAACCCCAGTCATCCTACGACCCTACCACGACTAAACTCAAACTAAAAAATGCAGCCATTTGCTTTTCCCTGTTGGTGTTGGGGTCATTCCAGAGGGGTTTTTGGTTGGTTTTGTCTCTCCCCAAGTGCTGGCGTGGGTCGCACGGGCACCTTCATTGTGATAGATGCCATGATGGACATGATGCATGCTGAGCAGAAGGTGGACGTCTTCGAGTTCGTGTCCAGGATCCGTAACCAGCGGCCTCAGATGGTTCAGACTGATGTAAGTGGGCTTGGGTTGCTTCAGCTGTCAGCTGCTCAGAGGACAACGTGCTTCTGGATGTCCTCTCTTGGACAGTGAACGAAGCCCAGGGGAGGGGTGGGGTTGGGGGAGGACACAGAGGCAGGTTGGGGTTGTGGAGGACACCACAAGGCATCTGATCGTCGGGTGTCGTGGCCAAGTGTCCCCAGGCACCTGAGAGGGGGATTGTGGAGAGTGTGAGCCATGCAACAGGAAAACTCTGGGTTAGCTGAGGGTGTAATTTGGTATTATTAGATTGTGGAATAAGTGAGAGGGATGAAAGGGCCAGAATTCATCATTTCACTTCTGTGTGGGCATGGCCAGAGAAGGGCAACGAACCTGGGGAAGGGTCTAGAGGCCAAGTGTGGGGAGGAGCAGCTGAGGGAGCTGGGGGTGCTGAGCCTGGAGCAAAGGAGGCTCAGGGGAGACCTTCTGGCTCTGACACCTCCTGACAGGAGCCTGGTGGGGGTCAGGCTCTTCTCCTAGGGAACAAGCCCCAGGACAACTGCAGTGGTGGAGTCCCCACCCCTGGAGGGGTTTCCAAGCCGTGGAGATGTGGGGTGAGGGACACGGGGCAGTGGGGACCTGGCAGGGCTGGGGGATGGTTGGACTGGATGATCTTAAAGATCTTTTCCAACCTAACCCCTTCTGTGGCCCTGTGCTTTGCAGGACCCTGACCTGCCTCTCTTTTCATTCCAGATGCAATACTCCTTCATTTATCAAGCCTTACTGGAATACTACCTCTATGGTGACACCGAGCTGGATGTCTCCTCCTTAGAAAAACATCTACAGACATCCCAGAGTGCAGCCCCAAACCTTGTCAAGATAGGGCTAGAAGAAGAATTTAAAGTAAGTATGAATTCCTCTGCCGTAGATTTCCAAATGTGGAAGCTTTTAAGCCAAAAAGATGCTTTAAAAGTTTAACCTGAAGAGAAAAACTCCATCAGTGTGGCACAACTGGGGTTGTTTTGTGCTCGCTGTGAATGGGTGAGGTGGAGTCAGTGAATGGGGCCTGGCTACACATCCTGTTCTGCCAGTGCTGATTCAAAGCCACCTCCTTTTATGGCCCTTTTCCTATGTGCTTTCTGTTTGTTTCTCAAAGAAAAGCAGAGTTATTCTCTGTGTGGTAGTAGATGCCAGATCAGATAGTGCTGGGGGAAGGAGCTGGGCTGGATGTGCTCCTCCTGTGCAGCTCCTTGGGCTCCTTAACTCTGTGATGACTGAGGGCAGAGGGAGCTGCAGAGGATTGACACTTCTTGGGCTGAGGCCCCAGAGCTGTCAGGAAAGAGAACAACATTAAAAAGACATTTCTCTTCAGTGGAGAAGCCCCAAATGCAGAGCTCAACCCTGCTGGCTGCCCGTGGTGGAGGTGGAAAAGAGATTTTATTGGCCTGAGGAAATAGCTGGGATTTTTCTGTGGCTTTTTGCTGTGCTAAAATAGTGATTCTATTTATAGGTCTGAAGCATTCAATGATGTAGGGGTGTTAGCTGGAGTTCTCCCTTTCCTGTAAAGGATTCAATGAATCAGAAATCAGGAAGTGGGAAAAGAATATGATGTAAAAAATAAGTCTGATGATACAGAACAAGCTCAGAAAGGGGAAGATTCTCTCTGCCTGAGGGAAGGAAGCCAATGAACACATCGTGGTCCACTTTTCTCAGGATTCCTAAGGTGGTTTCTGCTATCCACTGTGCTAGCAAAGCTTCCTTAAAGTACAGGGAGGAACACTCAGTTCTGCTGTGTGCCCTGAGCAGCTCTCAGACCCCAAAAAGAGCAGAGAGGGAGGTTGGGACCCCTCTGGGATCCCTGGCACAAAGCCTGCTGAGCACAGCACTGCACAGGACCTGGGAAGTCATCTCCCAGAAGGTGCAGAGTTTGCTTTGTGATGGTTTGTTGCCAGTGCTAGAGATCTTACTGGAACTGAGATGTGCTTCTTGAAACTCAGGACCTGGCAAAGACCTGCCTGAAAAATCTGCTGGGGGTGTGAAAGTTGAATTCATTTTATTTTAGATTGAATTTCTCTTCAATAGTTAATTCAGCTGTGGAAGTGTGGTTGGTTTCTGGTGAGTCCCACCCCAGCAGGAGCAGCCTGTTGCTGCTGTGTTGTCTGGTGGGTGTTTAGAGCCTTAAAAAAACCCCTGCAGGGGCCAGAGCAGTGGTTGGGTTGTGTGTCCTGGGAATGCTGTCAGCACAAACAGAATAAGGAATATGGAATAGGGGTCCCTTCACTAGCAGGAGCTCGACAACCTAGAGCTGAGTGAGCCCAGGAGCAAAGGACCAGAGATTTCATACTCTGAACAGGGCTGTGGTAACAGTCCTAGGAGTGAAATGAATAGGAAGAGAAATTCAGTTTCTATTTGGACCATAAAGGAAGTGATATCTGTGAAAAGAGAGTTTTTTTCAGCACTTGAGAGCCATGTGGACGTGCAAAACCTGTTGCTGCAGTGCCTGTTGGCAGGGCTGCTGCTGGAGAGGAGCAGTGGTCCCTGGCTGCTGCTTGGAAAGGAAAAAAGAAAATTAATTGGACAAAATGGGTTGTGAAAAGGTGTTTTCAACAGTGGCTAATATTTTGAAACTAAATTTGAGACATGTAGAGCTTTTCAAGGGGAGTGGGTGCTCTGAGCTTCTGAGAGCCACGCTCAGCCTGTCCTAAAGTGTCCTTGGAACAAAAAAATCAACACCAAACAGACCCAAAAATGTTCAAATCTGCTGTTGTTTTACAGCCTGTAAACTTTATTGGTACTCTCTGGCCACACATTCAGATTCTTGAGTATTTATCAGTGTGAAAAAAACGGTGTGACTGTTCTTAATCCATTTTTCTAGCTAGGGGGATGAAGGGGCTGTTGGGAAGAGTGCCTCACGTTGAGTGGGGTTCTGCACCTGACCCCTCTGAGAGCCACCTCTGCCCCCACGGGGTCTCCTCCTCCTCTCTCTCTCCTTGCAGAAGTTAACGAACGTCCGGATAATGAAGGAGAACATGAGAACTGGCAACCTCCCAGCAAACATGAAGAAAGCCAGAGTCATCCAGATCATCCCCTGTAAGAGAGCTGGGCTTTGTGCAGGGGGAGCAATGCAGAGGATTGGGGTTGGGTTGGGAGGGACCTCAAAGATCACCCAGTTCCACCCCCCTGCCATGGGCAGGGACACCTCCCACTAGAGCAGGTTGATCAAAGCTCCATCCAACCTGGGCTTGGACACCTCCAGGGGTGGAGCATCCACAGCTTCATTTTTAGCTAGAAGACACTTTTTAGGGTGTTCCCTGTGGTTTTGTTGTCCTCTCTGCAGACACGTGTGCTCTGAAGTTTCTGGAGAATTTGGGGATGCAGACAGCACCATCCTCTCCTCATGGCCTGTAAAGTCCCTGTGAAGTGTCTGCATACAGTTCAATTAATGGTTTTTCACTTGATTGTTACACATCTTACACTGAGGAGGTGTTTTCAGGACCAGCTGAAATAGTTCAGCAGTTTCCCCTTGTAAACCAACCCCTTTTGTGAGTGAAAATGAAATTTTCAGGCCATAACTCATGTGAATGAAAAAAAAAGCAGAAAAACTGGTGCCCTCCTCCACACACATTCTGAATCCTGGGGGAGATCTTTGAGCTGCCCTCTGGCTTCCAGATAAAAGATTTTGTTGCCTTTCTCCTTTCATGGGTGTAAGAGTGGAGCAGTCAAGGTGCAGCTGGCAAGAGTAAGACCAGACTTTTGTTTTTCAGATGATTTTAACAGGGTGATTCTGTCCATGAAGAGAGGACAGGAGTATACTGACTACATCAACGCCTCCTTCATAGATGTACGTATGAAAAGTGGTTCCTCTATTTCCCTCTCAAGCATTTTGGGTATTTTGCAGTTGCTGGGAAGTCTTTTTGAAGAGGCAGCATCACCTTGGCTCCTGAAGAACATCAGGTTTTTGTTGGGGTTTGGCTTAAAAAGTGGTTCCTCTATTTCCCTCTCAAGTATTTTGGGTATTTTGCTGTTGCTGGGAAGTCTTTTTGAAGAGACAGAATCACCTTGGCTCCTGAAGAACATCAGATTTTTGTTGGGGTTTGGCTTAGGGGAGCTGCTGAATAAGTTTCTTCCGTGGTGTTTTCAATTTAATTTTAAATGATTGTGTGATTTAAACACTCTGCTTGTTAGATTTATAAAGCAAGGCTTTGATTAAATTCTAAACAGGCAACAAAACAAAGGAGCTCTATGATAAACATCCAACAGTTCCATGATGGGTTGACAGATGTAGATTTGTGCTGTCCTGAGGGAGGGAAGAGGAAAAGCCCATTCTGAGCACTGGGAAAGGGCTGTGGCAGCATTTGGGAGCTGGGCTTTCCCTGGGCAGAGCTGCATTAACCCCTCACCTTCCCCTTGGAACCTGGGCAACACCTTCTGTCTGCTGAGCCTTGGTTTTATTGAAATAAGGATTGAATTCTGTCAAATCCCCCCAGTGACCAAGGAGTGTGGACACTACAGCTGTGAAGGGCACGTCAGGATGGAGCTGGAGCTCAAATGTTGACTTCAATTCCATAGTAAAGCCACTAGCTGTGGATGGTACAATCCCACCTCTTGCTCCACAACTCCATCCCTGGGCAAAGCCATAAAACACCTCTCAGGGTTGTGAATTTGGGGTGTTTTTTGCAGTGGTTGTGGCACCCAGGATCGGGTGGGGTGGGTGGCATCGCGCTGTCCCCCAGCAGGGCTCACGGGGGGCAGGGGTTTGAGCAGGGGGTCCCCTTGTTGCCTGGTGTCACTGGAGGCTGCTCTTGCCCACAGGGCTATCGCCAGAAGGATTACTTCATTGCCACCCAAGGACCCCTCCCACACACCGTGGAGGACTTCTGGAGGATGGTGTGGGAGTGGAAGTGTCACACCATCGTGATGCTCACCGAGGTGCAGGAGAGGGAGCAGGTACGTGTCCCAGAGCCAAGCAGCTGCTCTGATTCCCTGTGAAATGGGAGCATTAATGCTTGGCAAACCTTGTTGCTTATAAATTACAGAACCATAGTTAGGGTTGGAAGGGACCTTGAAGGTCCCTGAGCCCCACGGCTGACCCAGCACTGGCAGCTCAACTCAGCACCAC